CTGCTTCTTCCCCCGGGAAGGGGAAGGCGCCGCCGGGAGGTCGTCCCTGCGGAGGATCCGCAGCGTCAGCCTGGCCAGCAGCGGGTCCATGTCCCCGCTCTGGGAGGGCAGCGGCTCCACCAGCAGTTTTGGGACCCTCCCGCGGAAGAGCAGGAGATCCAGCGTCCGAAAGCAGCTCTTGAAATTCATTCCAGGCCTTCACCGGGCGGTGGAAGAGGAAGAAAGTCGGGTCTGACTTCGCCCGTGCCACCCTCGATGCCCGTGGGACTGCTCCATGGGCAGGGGCAGGCAGGGGGTGAGGTCTGGCAGCCCTGCACGGCTGTTTGCTGGGCCACGGTACTGAGGGTGTGCACAAAGCTCTGGGGTTTAAATTATTTTCATTTTTAATCAGAACGCGCTGTGGACCTCTTCATTCACAGGAGAAATGAGCAGCTCTGAAATGTGAAGTACCTTTGCAGAACTTCCTCAGCATCCTTGAGTGTCAATGGCAGTTAACTGACTGCAGAACTGACAGCTATTTTCCTTCCTCTTTGAACAGAGGAGCTGCTCCTGCTCACCCCGGGGACAGGCTCCTCCGAGGGCGCGTGGCAGAGACGCTGGGTGGTAACGACCCGACACGAAGGGCAGGGGCTCACCCGTGGAGGGTGCTGGCCGGGGCTGTGCTGCAGCAGGCCAGGAGCACACTGGCCAAGGTCGCTGCCCCGAGAGGCTCCAGGACCTGCACGCTGGGTGTGTGGCTCCCAGAAGGAAAGGGTGAGCCCCAGCGGCTGCTGCCCAGTCTCCAAAGCAGGGACCGGTGCTGGCACCACAGGCAGGGCTGCAGAGTATACCCTGGCAGCTACTGTATAAACCCTGCAACAATCAGAGAATCACGGACTGGTCTGGCTGGGAAGGGACCTTCTGAGGCCATCCAGTCCAACCCCCTGCAGGGACAGGGACATCTGCAGCTAGAGCAGGGTGCTCAGAGCTTCATCCAACCTCCCCTGGGATGGTGCCAGGGATGGGGCAGCGACCACCTCTCTGGGCAGCCTGGGACAGGGGCTCACCAGCCTCAGTGTAAAACATTTCTTCCTTCTCTCTAGTCCCAATCTCCCTCTTTTAGCTTAAACACCCCCACCGCCCCCCCTTGTCCTGTCCCAACAGGCCCTGCTAACAAGTCTGTCCCCTTGAAGTCCTGGCAGGCCACCAGAAGGTGAAGAAGGAGGATAATGTAATTTTCCTCTCAGGCAGCACAGAAATAGGCTGTTTGTTCAGCCCAAGCAACCTAATTATGTTTTTCCCATACAATTGGAAGAGTTTGAAATCTGATTTGAATACCTTGTGTGACTCACTCAGCTCTCAGCCAGCAGACCAGGCGGCTGTTTACCGTTGGGCACGGCTGCGGCAGCACTTCCTGGGCTTCTCAGACATCTCAGCTAAACCAAACAGAGATGAACCTTCTGAGATGAACCTGTATTTAAAGAACTGAGATGTGCCCTGAATAAAAACAACCTGTTCCCAACACTTCTCTGATTAATGACTGTTGCTAAGCCAGCAGAGTCTGTACTGGCGCCTGTCACTTCTCTTGAAAGCAGTTAGTAGGTGGCTAATGAAGGTCTCCTGCCTAACCTGCCTTGGTTGCATGTGGTTTATAGAGGTGCAGTGGCAGAGGTGAGGCTGAACAGGGTGGCTTGGGCACAGCCCAAATCCTCCACTCTGGTTGAGATGGGGGGAAAAGGGTATTTAAACCACTGTATGAACTCTGCCCTCTAAGGCTGTGCCTCTGGTGCAAATCAGTGCAGCTTTATGGTCCAAAGCAGTGATTCTTTTTGGGATGGAATGTTAATTTGACATTCCTTGGGAAGATACAGTGCAAGAGGGACATGAATCCGTTGGAGTGGCTCCAGAAGGTGGCCACAAAAATGATCCAGGAACTGGAACCCTTCTGGTGTGAAGCCAGCAGGAGAGAGTTAGGCTTGTTCAGCCTGGAGAAGAGAAGACTCTGGGGAGACCACTTGGTGGCCTTCCAGTCCTTCAAGGGGTCTGTCAGAAAGCTGGGGACAGACATTTTATCAGGGCCTGTTGGGACAGGACATGGGTTTAAAAGAGAGGAGTTTAAGCCTTGATAGAAGGAAAAACTATTTTACACTGAGGCTGGTGAGCCCCTGTCCCAGGCTGCCCAGAGAGGTGGTCGCTGCCCCATCCCTGGCACCATCCCAGGGGAGGTTGGATGAAGCTCTGAGCACCCTGCTCTAGCTGCAGATGTCCCTGTCCCTGCAGGGGGTTGGACCAGATGACCTTGGAAGGTCCCTCCCAGCCCAAAGCATTCCACGATTCTCCATGTGCCTGTGCCTGCTTTTGGTGTGGAAGGGCTGAATGAGCCTGGGCACCCAGCAAGCTTCTGAAAGGCCTTAGGGCAGGCCAAGGAAATGATGCTCTGTGGCTGCTGACACGCCAGGAGATGTTCTCAGCCTCCCCCAAAAACAGGATGTGGGTGGGGGTGGAGATCAGCGTGCTGGGCACACGGAGGGGGAAGGAGCTCGGGGCAAACCGAACAGCCAGAGAGCAGAGGAGCACGGAAGCCCCTTCAGAGTGGCACTTCTCCCTGCAGAGGGCACTGGGCAGGACCAGGAGGAGGGTGGGCATACGGGCAGGGGTGGGGAATGGTTGGACTCCATGATCTGAAAGGTCTCTTCCAAAACAATTCTATCTAATGAGCCCAAAGTGATTG